TCATTGTCTGATCATTGATATCGCTATCTAACTCACAATTCATGATATTTTCGAAGAAGATATAATATTTAATTCAGTTAATCAGAATTATCAAATACTATGAACTATTGACAGAATATTTTCAGTATTCTTTGTTCTTTGAAATCCATTCTAAAAAAGATCAAAAAGAACAATTATACTCTTGCAACATTTGATTAAAATAAAAATATAAAAATTAATGCTTGTGTCATAGTCAATAATATTAATTATTTGTTATAAATCTTTGTAATTTAGACTGAAATTTGTCTTTAATCAAATAATCCAACAACGCCATTTAGAATATTTGGTCTATGAAGAAATCGATGAAAAATATTATGCTGTTAGTCGAATTAATTGTCAAGCATAATTTCGATTTATTTGATCTTATGATTATTAATTGTTTCATACAAGAGACAGTATACTTTATAGACTAGCAATTATCACATCTTTTTAACATTATGAAAAAATTAACGCAACGTAATCATATATAATTTACGAGGATATAATAAAAACTCTAACGCATGCAACCATATAATTTATTTCCAAGAGATCTACTGCCTACTTTTATGAAACAAGAATAATATTAGTTGGACAGTCTATAAACATATGTAAATTTTAAGATATAGCATCGGATCCAATATAAAATATCGACCTTTTCTATCATTTTCTTTATTTGATAATACACGTTTATTAATTATTGACATCAATTGAAAATCAAGGTCAATGTCTCTGTCGATATGAATGACGGATTCAGGATTCTAGCAAAAGGGCAGCACTGACTACAAGATGCTTTCTGAAATAATGTGAATATTTTTTTTAGAAGCCAAGCAGGTAATGTATTCGCATGCATACTGTTCTCTGCGCCACTTTTATACAAAAAATCTAGAGATTTTTTAACAAACAGTTTTTATCAAAACTAAGCCATGAGCAGCAAAAGCAAACAATCCAAAAGACGCTTAAATTTGAAAAAATTCATCAATAGTAAAATCAACTTGATATCTAAATCTAAGGGAGAAAAAGCAGTCACGTTTGTCTTGATATCTGCTGTTTCTTCGTTACGTAATTGCTGAATCATTAAGTCTTGGTTACGATTTTACTCCTCATTGAACTTACTTTTTTTTTTGAAAAAAAAACAGTTATCTGAGAATAGGCTTAAATCTTAAAAAGCATCTGAGTTGATATGAAAGAAAGCTATCTTAAAAATGAAAAGAACTCACATGTCACTAATGTATGTGTAGAGCAGAGCACCGTATAGGGTAGGACATCGGACATTTCAGGCGTCAAATACCTTTACAAAGAGACGAAATTTAATCAAATTGTTATCAGTTGATTCATACTTATTGCCACCTGACGCCCTGAAAAGCATTATTAACAACTAACAAAATTTGGAATACGTTGAAATTCTTCGTAGTTATTTTAATTTTTGATGGAGATATTGGAATACTCCCATTAAGAAAATGAATTAATCTTTGAATTCTTCATAGTCGTATTGTTCAATATGTCATTTTTCACTAAGCGAAAGTGACTGGTTCAGCTGTATATTCATTCATAAACATCGATGCAGAATCGAAAGAAGAAGATGCGACAGAAGTGATTATAAAAGACGAACCTATGGTCGAACTTATTGTATTGCATCGATAAGATTGGCTTTTAACTAGAGTCCGGTGATCGCTTTTTTAGGTTATAGTAACCAGAACTGTTGGCACCGAAAAATCTTATTGACGACTGGTATTATAAATGTTTCATTCTTGTTCTGTGATTTATAAACAAACAAAATTTTCACGTATTGTCTACGTCGAATCATACTGGTAGCGTAAAGTACTAAACAAAAATCTTACTCTATCACGCTTGAACTAGGAATTAGCACTCTTTTATTGTTTTTGAGATTTTGCATGTTGATGTTATCAGTATGTGAAAACTTATTATGAACAGTTTGCACTGTAATCAAGAACATTGCTTTGATACAAGAATAGTAGTAATTAAGAAGTTCAAAAAAAAACGTCGCATATGATATTAAGATTCATTTGGATAATCGTAAAAAAGATAAAGAAAACGACGACATCGATTTAGTTTTGAGCTCTTTTGTATCATTAAAAGTTTCATGTAATTATTTCACATTAAAATGATTTTTCTTTCTTTCATTTACAATTTCAATAAATTGCTTTTTGTTAGTTAAATATATGAATAATTTCGAAAAAAGAAATATCAAAATTTCGGATAACAACTACAATTAGTTGCTTGTCGTTCAGTATTAGATGAACCGAAATTAGACTAGTATTTTTTTTAGTTTTACGAACCAGAATCTCGGTTCCGATTCTAGATACTTTTTAAAATCGCTAAGCTCTATTTTCAACAATAGAGGATGAATTATTCAGAAACATTCTATGAGCAATTAGCAAGGACAAAATCATATCATTTGTTACTAATTATTACAATAAATCGAGCTCTATCCATTCTTGATCTGTTGGTGCATTAGTATTTCCTGTTATATCGCGTCATAATTAGTATAGTCCTTGAATACCTATAGAAGTTTGTTTTCTCACTTGTTTTTTTTTTCGAAAAAAAATGAGTACGAAATTTATATCAAGGCAGCCATATTGTTTTTTGCAATAAAATATTTTTACATAAAATTTGTTTATCTCATAGGACGATGGGATGGGACTAGTGAACTGCGGAGTCGCATTTTTTGATCCCGAAACCCGACCCGATTCCTAAACTTTTTTTTCTTCAATTCCGAAATCCGACCCGATTCCGAAAATATTGTTTTTGCGATTCCGATTCCAACTCCGACTCCGGTCAGAAATTTTTTCGGACTCCGACTCCGACTCCGAAAAACTCCGAAAAACTCCGAAAATTTTTTATGACATAGGAGAGAATTTTTTTCAAATGCTCCCTTCGAATTTCAATGATTTTTTTGTCCGTAGATATTTCATTAAGTTCTAGTTAAAGTCCTAAAAAAAAGATTTGGGTTCGTGTAGCTTTCTTCGAAGGTTATATGTATCTTTATTTTACTTCTACAAAACATAACCTATAACGTTGAAGAGATGGTTTGTCAGACCACCAATTAAGTCATATTTATTTCTATGTATGAAAGATCATATTAAGAAATTGATAAATTCGAAATATCAAATTATTTTGAAATATTCGTAAAAAGTATTAAGAAGCACGATCTTTGCTTTCCTCATGCTTATATCATGTAAATGTAGTAAAAGCTGGTTTATAAATATTAATGGCTATTTCGAGACTATTTTTCTCTAAGACCGTCTCATAAATCCAGAAAAGGTCTTAAAAGGGGCAGAAAAGAATTCTCTATAGAATGTGGTATACCAGTGTTCATAACAATGATTGCTAGTAGTTGATAGCACTTTCACAAGAAAAAGGAGTGTATGCTTCGTAGTCATTCTTTTGCCTGTTTGTTCGTGACTTAGACGAGTAATGGCATCGCAAAAAAACTGAATCAAGTTTCTATAAACCCTTGATACTGCACTTTTAAAAATTCTTTTCTGGATCATTGAGAAGATATTAGATAGAAAAATTTTCAAAATAACAATCGGTGTGTAAAAAACAACTTTTTATTGTTTTCATAATCTAATGACAAAGGAAATGAAGGTTGTACTTCTTGGTGTTTTTTCCCAAATGCTTCGAAATAACTACAAAATAAATATTTTATGAGATCTGAACTAATTGGTGCTCTAGCGAACCATTTCTTGAACAGTATATGTTGTACCTTATCGAAGTAAAAGAAGTATACGTATAGCTTTTGAAGGAAGCGACGAGAATCCATATTTTTTCAGGGTTTTTACCAGGACATTTTGTAACATCTGTAGACGAAAATTCATTGAAATCTGAAGAGTATCTGAAAAGGTTCTCTCGTTCAACAGTAACTTCTAAAAAAATTTCTTTCAATATTAAACAGGTGAATCCACCAGAGACAAGCTCGGAATTCGGAGTTCAGTTGAGTTTTTTTACTCCGACTCCGACTCCGAAATTTTTTTCGTCTTAATTCCGATTCCTACTCCGATTCCGAGAATTTCTGTTTTTTTGACTCCGATTCCGACTCCGACTCCGCCGGAGTCGGAGTCGGAATCGGGTTTAGGACTCCGGTGCAGTTCACTAGATGGGACTATTTAATCCCACGCGGAGCTCTGTTTGATATCAGTCGCAGTATCTCTCGATTCTAAAATTTGAAATTTTTCCGTACAAACATTTATTAGAAAGATCTTCTGCATGAATTCAGTATTACTTTTATTTGCAAGAAGGTTACGATGACCGAATTACCATACTGCTTGACTTATTATTGATCAATATGTATAATCATTATAATCATTGTTCTCGAGTTTTTTATCTTATAGAAAAGAATCTTGCATGTGAATGGCATAACGTCATTAAACGACATCTATTACTGTCATATTCCGAACATTTATTATTTGCCAAACAGTTCTCGAGACAAAAATTTTTGTATCAAAAAAATTCAAGAACATTGCTGACGTTTAATAAGTTATTTACTTTTTTCTTTCTTTTTTCTTTTTTTTACAGAACCAGAATCGATTAGACCAATAAAGTCACAGATTTCTTTTTCTTCCAATATTTACTCATAACATTTTATCAACTCTAAATAATATTCATCCGTTATACATGAAGGAGAATGTTTTTCAATGATAACCACGAAATTATATAGCATATGCATTACATTTGAAATCAATACAGTGTATCTTCATGACGAAACGTCAACAATAAAAAAAAAAAAAAGGAGTCCGTAGGTTGTCGATCGTCAAGAAAAAGAAAGATTCAACCTGTACAAGTTGGTTGGTTACATGAAACACGAAAGAAAAGAAAAAAGAACGGCCATGATTACTAGTATAGATGTTTTTATGCTTACAGTCACCATAGACGTTTCGTTTTTTCTTTTAAATTAGTTGCATCGTTTATATTAATAAAAAAAATTATTATTTTAGATTAAAGAAAAACAGTTGTTTTTCAATATGAATTTATTCATCATTATTTTGAGTTTGATTTTATTTCATGAATATTATATATATGGATTAGATGCTGAAGAATTAAATGGTATTGATGTATTAACGCAATTAAAAAATACATCACCAAATTGTGATCTTGGTGATTTTCTTAGAAATCGTAATGAATCTAAATTATTACATGATGATCTAAGCAAATATTGTTCATTATCAGATGCAGAAAAACAATATAGAATATTATGTCATATGCTTTCATGTGAACTTGAAATAGGTTGCAGACTTTCAACTGAACGACGTCCTTCAAAAGCTTTATATGCAATTCAAACATCATCTAAACAAATATGTGGTAAAGCCAAAATACAAATGACCAATAAATGGATATGGAATAAAATAACAAACGATGGACAAAAACAAATTGGTGTCGAATCAAATGCTTTATGTCCTAAAGTTACAAGTGATACTGATGTACTTCGATTAGCAAGATTTTTTTATCAAATTGCACCATTGATTAGAACTGCTGATTTATCTAAAACAAATAAAGGTTAGTTACAAAGCTTTGTAATGAAAGGAAACTTGTATCAATTCACTCTTAACTGATATAAGGAAAATTTTTTTTGCCTACCAATAAATTTAAATTTTATTCAAAAACAAAAGTGATAAAACGATCGAAATTCATGACTTAATGATGAAAAGTTGTCTGTTTTGATAGACCAATTATCGTCAGGAAGATAGTTTCGTAATTAAAAAAAAAATTAATTTGGAGTTTCTCTCACAAATATTGTATCTAAATATTTTTCTCAAAATAATAAATATGCATAGCATAAAAGACAAATTGACTTGAAAATTCAATATTCTGAAAAAAATGTTAATTTACGATAAAAGTTTCAGACTATTTGAATAAAAAATCAAATCTACTTTTAAATGAAGAAAAATATAGGTTCAGAGATTTTTCGACGGGACGAAATGTTTCTTGCGAAGATTTCATAATATGATAGTTTTTCTTTCTAGAAATTTTGAGTTGTCAAGATTCTTCGTTTTTGATAACAACTACATACTGATTTCAAGGGCTTGTAATATTAGTCTACTTCATACGGTGAAACATCAAAACCAAAATGAAGGATCTAGACGATTTAAAGTTCATAAAGTTAAAAGACATTGATAATGATTTTAAAAATTAATTTTAAAGTTTATCCGTACGAATTAATCTTAACTTAAAAATGACACAAATTTTATTTCGCCGTTAATTTTTGAAATAGTTTATATCTAAAATTAACCAATTAAATTTTTCTCTGTTAGCTAAACTTCATTCAAATACAAATAATGTTTTAAAAGAATCACCTTCGCAAGATATAAAGAATACCAAAGAAACTATTGTTAATGAAGCACAAACAGATAAAGAAAAAACACAACAATCCTCTCGCATAAATACAAAAAAAACTGATGATGCTATCGATGGATTGAAAGAAAAGACTTCTCAAATTGCACAAGAACAAAAAGATAAGACTGGTCAAGCTGCCGAAGAACAAAAAGACAAGGCCGGTGAAGATAAAAAAGAGAAGACGGCTCAAACTGGTGAAGGCACAAAAGACAAGGCTGATGAAAGTGCTAAAGACAAGACTAGTGAAGGTACAAAAGAAAAGAATATTCAAACTGGTGAAGGCACAAAAGAAAAGACTGTTCAAATTGGTGAAGGCACAAAAGAAAAGACCGTTCAAACTGGTGAAGATGCAAAAGACAAGACTAGTGAAGGTACAAAAGAAAAGACTGCTCAAACCGGTGAAGGTGCAAAAGACAAGGCTGATGAAGGTATAAAAGAAAAATCTATTCAAGTTGGCGAAGGCACAAAAGAAAAGACTAGTCAAGTTGCAGAAGAATCAAAAGACAAGGCTGGTGAAGGTGCAAAAGAAAAGACTGCTCAAACTGGTGATGGTACAAAAGTTAAGGCTGATGAAGGAACAAAAGAAAAGACTGTTCAAGCTTCAGAAGAATCAAAAGATAAGGCTGGTGAAGATAAAAAAGAGAAGACGACTCAAACTGGTGAAGGCACAAAAGACAAGACCGATGAAGGAACAAAAGAAAAGACTATTCAAACTGATGAAGGCAAAAAAGACAAGACCGATGATGGTACAAAAGAAAAAACTGCTCCAACTGGTGAAGGCACAAAAGACAAGACCGATGAAGGAACAAAAGAAAAGACTGTTCAAACTGATGAAGGCAAAAAAGACAAGACCGATGATGGTACAAAAGAAAAAACTGCTCCAACTGGTGAAGGCAAAAAAGACAAGACTGATGAAGGAACAAAAGAAAAGACTGTTCAAACTGGTGAAGGCAAAAAAGACAAGACCGATGAAGGTACAAAAGAAAAAACTGCTCAAACTGATGAAGGCATAAAAGACAAAGTAAATATTGGTTCCAATGTTGTTTCAAATACAACTAATAAAACCGGTAAAAGAATAAAAGAATTCGAAAAACAGAGTTATATTTTATTTTTCTTTTGTAAGGTGATCAAAGTCAAGGTGGTACTGAGAAAGCTAAACAATCAGGAGAAGAATCAGTGGTGAATAAAACTAGTGAAGAATTAAAATTACGTAAAAATGCAACAAATGAACTCTCGCCAAATACAGGTAAGTTTACATCTTGATTTTCCGAAAAAAAAAAAACAAAATTTATTCTGTAGGTGAGAAGACACAGCAAGTCTTAGATTTGAATAAAGATAAAAAAACAGAACCAGAAAGCAAAAAAAGTCAGGAAAATACAGATAATACTGATAGTAAGTTATTATTTAACTCAATAAATAAACTAGAAATAAATTATTAAGATGATGAAGATAATAATAATGACAAACAATCAGAAAATAATGAACCAGGTACTAAAGTTTTTATTTTATTTATTTTTTTTAATGATTATCTTAGTTGGACAAATTCCAAAACCAGATTTGTCGTCTAAAAAAGATCAAGAAAAAGGTATTTTATTCATTTGGATTTATCATTTTACCTTAAATAGTTTTATTCAATATATTGCATTATTACAAAAATCTCTGAAATTTATTTTACTAATTATTCTATGAAACTATATAGTTCAATTAAATATTATTTTGTGTCTAAATCGAATCTTTGATAAAAGTCAGTAACTGTGAAAGAGAAAATTTTAGCATGTTGATATGAAATAGGACATGAAAACATGAAATATAAAAAATTATGATATTGATTTATTTCGATTTGGATAAGAGAATTGAATTTGATTATTGAGTTGAGTATGAGTTTCCGCCTTTAAACACCAGACTTTTAACAAGATTCAATGTAATCACATTAGAAAACGAACCTTCAACATTTTCGTACAGGAATAGTAAATCAAAGAATATTTTCTACAAAAATCTACTCAACATATAAAATAGTTTTTTGAACTGATTAGATTTTTTAAATTTAGATGATAACAAAGCAATCGAATCTAGTAAGTTGCTTTCTAGTCATTGACATTTTTCATTATTCGTAATTCTAAAGCTATTGATAAAACAAAAGATGTTGGAGTAACAACAGAAAATAAAACATCGAATCTTGCTAATGAAGGTGGTGAGTTTAATAAAATAAAATAAAAAAATAAAATCACATCTATCTATCTATCAGATGATAAATTAGCTTCAAATAAAAATAATGAATCTGGTAATGATTTTCTATCTTTAACTAATTTAATGAAACAATATAACATATCACTTGCTGAATTAATTAAGTTAATTAAAAATAACAAATTAAATCTTGCTGAAAATAGAACAGATTCATCTATAAGCAAAACTACTTCTGCTGATCCACTGATTGAACGTAAAAAAGACAATACTCTTGGTTTGCCTACAAGCACCTTTTCTACGCTGCGTACTGCATCTTCTTCTTCAGCTAAAATCTATTCTCTCGAAATCAATCGACCTGATAAAGAGAGTAAGATTGATATGCTTTTTAAAAAAAAATTAAGATCAAAGCAAAATCTTTATTCTTCGAATGAAAATATTTCTTTTTCTCATTTTAGAAAACAAAGACAAAGAAACAAATGATGCTGATGAAGTTAAACCAAATGATCGTACCGATGATCAAGATGAAGATGAACTTAAGAAAGATGAAGAAGCTGAAAACCAATTGAAAAAACAACAAGAAGACGCTGATAAAGATGATTTTCAAGCAGTCGATGAAAATAAAGGAAAACCAGGTTTGTTTTGATTAATAGCTTTTCATTTCTTATCCTCAATATAGAAGATAATGAACTCAAATCACAAGATGATGATGGCACCGATAATGATCCTGATCAACAGATCGAGAAAGGAAATCCATCCATCAACGATGAAGATGCAGAATATCAAGGTTTTATTCCAAACAACAGCATGATTTTTGTTTCTTTCCTATCAATATATATATATATATACATATCGATGCATTGTAGTGTTTTATCCAAGTTTTCTTTTCGAAAAGGGCAAATCTAACTTTTAGAAAAGCATCATCTTCACATATCCACGTTGGATAAAACACTGATGCATGACTGTAGTTAAAAATTATACTCAGGGAAATGCTTTAAACTTTTGTTTTCTTATATTATTATATTCTTGTTTTGTTAATATGACTAACACCAAACAAATTGTTTATTAAATCCTTTTTTTTTAAATTTTTTTTTTCAGGCACTAATGTGGGTCCAAATGGAATGAAAATTAAAAAGCCAACTGATGAAGATAAAACTCAATCTGGTAATTTTTCTTGTTTTAAATATTTTTTTTTGTGAATAAAAGAAAAAAATTTCTTTAGTAGAGAAATCTCCAGAAAAGAATATCAAGACTCCAGGTATGTTTATTATATGAGTCTTATGATTTTGAAGAATTTATTTATTGTTTTTTTAGATTTCGAATCATCTAAATCACGAATAAGTAAGAAGAAGCTTTCACTATAATTAAGCTTATTTTACATAAATAAAATCTAAATATGAATAAGAACAAAATATAAAATAGTTCTTAAACATTCTAAGGCATAAAAGTAACTAGAGCTTGGAATTAAACACAGAAAAGTTTTTTTCATCCCGTAGCTATGCCATTTTAAACTCAGACATGAAACATCGAAGAAAGAAGATATTAGTAATCATACAAGGAGTAGTGTTGCATCAAGATATTTGAAATTTGATGTTAGTAATAGAGAGTCGGTTCGAATTCTCTGTTAATGATTTGTCAAAATTTTGGAAACAGAATCAAAGAAGACTAAACTAACTCATCAATAATCGTCGACAAATTATTCAAAAAAAGTTGTTTGCTCAAGACATCAAGTATTTAAGAGTATTTGCAGTGAATGTTTTTTTTTGTTTTTTAATAATCAATTTCAGTTAGAAAATTTGATCACTGTAGAAATTGAATACTCCTGAACATCACTAGTGGTAGAAACTATGAACAGTAAAATTTCTAAAATCCAGCATAGCAATATATCCTTGACTTAAAAGCTTTTGGTTTTTCCATTTGCAAAGTTCAATTTTTGAAAATTAAAGATTTCCTATTGCTGTTATATTGACCTGTAACATTGATTCACAAATTAGAATATGATGAAAATACTTAGCAATAGAAGTTTTATTTGTAAATCTCGTTACTTTAGTTCGATAGGTTTTTTTCTTTGATATAAAATTTATTAAAAAACAAAAATATTTCTTTTCTAGAACCAGTGCCATCGCGAAAATATGATGATAATGATGGATGGTCAGGCAGTTTTGTAACTTATTTTCTTATTTTTACTTTATTTGTTGTTGTTGGTTATTTGGTATTACATAATAAGAACAAGGTAAATAAAAATGACCTTTTTTTAATTATTTTTTTTTTTGAATTGAAGACGCAGAGAGAACGATTACTGAAAAAAAGCGGACGTTGTTTTTTTTTCTCGTGATTCTTTTAGGTGTTGGGCTTATTAATCGAAGGATGCAGACGAAATCGTTCATCACTTGGACGTCGTCATGGTGGAAGTTCGAGTTCTACACGTTATCAACGTTTATCACAGTCATCTTAGATTAAAAGAAAAAAAAACACGTCCGTCTTTTTTTTTCATGTCTTTGTCTCTCTGTAATTCTATTTATTATATTTGTATTCTTAATACTTTTTTTTTGTTCTATGTAATTGTCGTTCTATTGTTTTTTTTTTCTTTTCTCAAGTTAATGGCATATGTTGTCGAAGGTCGTCGTTCTGGTGCATCACGTACTGGTAGTCGTCCATCTCATCGTGGTTATGAAAAATTAAAAAATGTTAATGACATTATTCCTCTTGATGATACAAATCCTTTGTCGGACAAAGAAGCTATTATTCTTAAAACTTGAATGATCATTAACATTTTATTATTATAAAAAACAAAAAAAACTGTGATTGAATAATTATCTTGTGTTCGTTTTTCTTCTTTTTTTTTTTTATTGGTCTTTCAATTGTTTCTTTTTGTTTTCTTCTTTTTCTCTTTCTGTTACTCTCATTGATTTCTCACGCATCTAGTTCAAAGCTTATTATTATTGTGGATATTCACCATCAGTTTTATTGACTTATCAGAAATCACTTCTTCTTCTTCTTGTTTAGTTTAACTTCGCATTTGTGTAACTATAATAAATAAAAGTGAGCTTTCTTTTCCGACAAATACATGGTATATATGTAGTTTATATATTCTTGGAACAATTAAAGTCACTTTATTTACATCATTATCAATAATAAAATCATAGTTTATCATCAAGTCTTTTATATGAATCGTTGCCGTCAGTATATCATAAGTAAACATTATTCAAGTTTGATGAAAATTTCAATGGTTAGACTTTCGCCCATACGACGTTTATTCTTGGTGAAATTTTGGAATCATAAAAATTTTTTCAAATAATTTTTTTTAACTAAGGAGAAATACACATTAAAGTTCTAATTAATTCGACAGTGAAAATTGATATTGAATCGCCTATAAGGCAATAGCTGAGCAGATGTTCTTCACTTTTAATAGAACTCACTATTATCATCATTACTCGACTGCAAACATACGGAGTTTTCAAATGGCAATAATCTTTCACAAATATTTCCTATTTGCAGTAATCCGTCTAATTTCGTTGTTAATGAGCAGTGTGTAGTTGTTGATCTGTCTTGCAATGCAATCTAGGTATTTTCGGAGTGATCAGCCCCGGTTGAGTTTCTCATGACTGAATTTGGCGTACCAAGAGCATACGTATTGTTAGATTTGTTTGAACTTCTGTGAAGATAGACTTCGATGAAACGTAGTTGTCGACGTTGTATTTCTTGCACCAAGATTTTCTGTTTGGTCTTTTCGTAAGTATTCATCATTTTAAGCAATATTTCCAATATGTCAAGTACAATTAAGAAATCGATAATAATAAGAATCCAAAGAATAATAAGTAAGTTTTGTTGATGAAGTCTTTCTTTATTATTTGTATTTGATTGTTTTCGTATACATATTCTGATATGAATATAGGCTACTGATAATATTGAAACAGAAAAGCAATTTATATTCGATATCATTCATAAGCAACTTCAAAAAACTATGTAAAGCAGTATTTGCTAAGGATTTACATTACATTATGCAATATATAAAGAGAACATAAGGAAACAATAGCTAAAATCAGCTGAATATGTAAAGAAAATTATTCAAATTTAATACTATAAAGTTCTATTGCATTCTTAGTTTTTTGATTCTGACTTTAGAGTTGAGTAAGTCCGTGTCCATTGCTCGGTCCTACTATCACATTTGTTTAAAGACCCTAACTTAGTTTGAACTTGAAAATTGAGTATTGTTAACTCGATTGTTTGATGCGAGTCATTCATTCAAGAAAATGAAAGTTGATAAGTAAATACTAGAATTAGTTTCCGAAGAGATTGCTGATTTTCTGCAGTACAAAAACTTAACCAATGATCTTAGTTTTCAAAAACGAAATTCATACAAATTTCTTCTTAAACTTATCTCAAAAAACCATATGTATTCTTATTACATAAGGACTAGTTGAACGTGTATTTTCTTAAAGCAGCCTTTTAGTAGGATAGTATCATTCAGATTATTCCACAAGCTTATACTTTTATCTTAACATCTTTCAAAATGTATTTAGACTAATTTAATTAAATGTCGATAAATAATTTTTTCTTGTATACAACTCTAAGTTTAGCTTCACTTTTATAAAAATTGATGTTTTTTTTTTATTCTTTTGTGAAACTGTATGAAAGAGAAGAGTTGATTATAGTGTCCTTACTTTGTTAATAAGGCTATAATAGTTGTATCATTTTATGTTATGCCGTACTGTTCTTATTTTGTTTTGTTTTTTTATATAAAAAGATATTAACGTTAACTTGTTGTTAACGTTCTTTATAAACATAAACAAGACAAGAAAAAATGTCAAAAAAAAAATAATTCGGACTCAAATCGGCCTTGAAAACTGGTTGAACTCGGCCAAACCTGCTTATTCATTTTTTTTTCTGATCAGTTTATGTTTAGAAATTTTCTTTGGATTGAAAATTTTTACTAGGATTTAATTTTATTTGTATGCTCTCAAGTCTTGTATATATATAATCAATAATCATTCGAATAATGAATACATAGTAAACAACGACTAACAAGAACACGAGACAAATATTCTCTAAATATATATCATAATGAATCAACCTTATATCCATATAAAGTACCTAATACCATCTGAATCTTCATTTATATAGCTATCATTATACTATAGACGAACCTAAAAATAATATAAATAAAAAAGAATACGAGTTATTCTGTCTTTCGATTTAACACGATTATAATACAAATTAAAAATCATTATGGTAAAAACATTCCGTTCATTCTGAATACATTTAGCATCAAGCTGTGTTGCTTGCATTGTTGAAGAAATCTAATAGGCTCTTTTGGCAAATTAGAGCCCCAACAACTGAAATTTCATCACTTGACTTTTAACAACTCGTCTTATTTCCGTCCAACTTTTGGCAATAAAAAGATTGTTGAAATAACGGCGTAAAATGAGACAAATTGTCGAAATTATAGAGCTCCATCGGTATTTTTGCTTTATTCCATTACTATTCATTGATAAATCAGAATTTCAACAACCTCGTTTCATTGTGGGAATTTCATTGAATATTGAATAAAGATGTCAAATTTCTGGTTTCTCTATGATGCACGTCTTTTTCCAATAGCTTAAAATGATGTATAATGTATATTCTTTTTCTGTATAGTTTTGTGAATTTTTATCTTGATAAGAAAATTGAATTTATATTTGACAAGGGTTAATTCTCTTCTTCTGCTTTATTTCATTTTAATAATTAATTAATAAAAAATTTATGATGTTTCGTGTCTTGACGAGATACTTCTTCAGACGTTCAGTTTAAGACCATTAATACAATATATAAGTAAAACTATTTTCATTTTCTTTTCTTAGTCACTCTTTTAGTAGTGATATGAAAAACAAGACGAGAATAGTTAGAGCTGTATAGAGGTTTAATTTTTTTCGGTATCACTATCAGCGAGCTATTTAAGAAAAGAAAAGCAAAGAAAAAGAGAATAGTTTAACTTATATGTATATTGTGTTATTTGTCTTAAATTGAACGTCTGAAGAATTATTTCATCAAGATAGGAAGCGTTACCATTTTTTATTAATTAATTTTTAATATAAAATGATACTAAATAAGGGAATTCATTCATGTCAAATATTAATTCAACCGTTTTATCAAGATAAGAGCTGACAATAACATATCGATCTACCGTATTCAATGATATTATGAAAGATTCACAACATTGTCTTATCTGAATTCGTTCAAATGAGAAACTCTTACTGGGACACAGCTTTCTTCAAACGATCGATTTAAATTTTGTCTTAGCAGGTTTGATTAAGCTGTCCGAGGAATTCATATCATCGAACGAGTTCAAAAGAGACAAATAAGATTTTTAGAATCCAATTTATATCTACTAACTTCTTAGCTGTGAATAGTTAAGTTACATTCTCGGTATTTTAATGATTAAATCAACAGATTTTTTTGCAAAAAATATTTTAAATGAGTTAATGATTATTTATCTAAGAAATATTGTAATTTCAACGCTAATTTTCATCTACATTTCTTCAATATAAGATCAAGCAAAACGGTATGCAAAGAATATCACTTTTGGACATGTTAAAAATTGCAGATAGCGCGACTCGTTTTATGTTCTATCATTTTTGTTTAGGCTTACGAGGAAGTTTCCTCAACTGATGAATCGCTTTTTTATCGAAATTTGCCTAGCTGTATGCTGTTTTTTCCGATAATACCGAATATCAGAGTCTTAGTGATTCTTAGACCTCCCTTGTTTCTATGTCATAACTATCAAGCTCTTTTTGGTAAAGGTTTTCTTATCAAATTGAATCTCTCATTAGTCTATCATACATTAATAGATAAAATATCGACAGAAATGCTTTTTTTTCCAGGCATTTCAACCTTAAGGTCGAAATACTACGATGTATTAAAAA